AGAATAAAGGACAAGGATCCATTCCTATGGGGGCCAATCCAACAGGAGGCATTCGATCAGATAAAGCAATACCTGAGTAACCCACCAGTCCTCACGCCTCCAAGAAAGGGCGTCCCTCTAAAATTGTATATTTCTGCTTCAGATAGCTCTATCGGTAGTTTGTTAGCCCAAGACAATGTAGAGGGCAAGGAACAAGCTGTATTTTATCTGAGTAGAATATTACAGGAGGTTGAGACTCGTTATTCTGCCATTGAAAAGCTCTACCTTGCGTTGTATTTCACAGCAGTAAAGTTGCGTCACTACATGCTTCCTTTTACTGTTCATATAATAGCCAAAACTGATCTAATTAAATACATGCTCAATAGACCTGTCCTAAGGGGACGATTAGGAAAATGGATTCTGGCTCTTTCAGAATTCAGTTTCAGATATGTTCCCCAGAAGGCAGTTAAAGAGCAGGCTATTGCGGACTTTTTAGCTGCCCATCCTTGCGTCGAAATTGAGGATTTAAGCGCTATAGAAATAGCCAACCTAGGTTTTCCGCTCGAGCAGAGAGCTCCAAAAATGAAAATCAAAAATGTTTTTGGGGAGTTACCCGGTCAGCAAGGAAAGGTTTTGATCCCTGTAAAAACTGTCCAGATCAAGCCATGGAAATTATTTTTCGACGGCTCAAGGTCGGAATCGACAGCTGGTGCAGGCATTGTTATTGAGGATCCATTTGGAGCCAAGTATGCATATTCATTTCAGCTCGATTTTGACAGTACCAACAATAGGGCCGAATATGAAGCTCTGATTATCGGCCTGGAAATGGTACTAGAGCTTGGGGTTACCCACCTAGAGGTCTTTGGAGACTCTCAGTTAATAATCAGGCAGTTGACAAGTGAGTATAAATGCAGGGATCCGACTATGGCAGCCTACTACGTTGCAGCTCGCAACCTGAGCTCTATGTTCAAAGAAATATCGGTCAAATATGTCCCACGAAACGACAACTTGGCGGCCAATGAAATGGCACAAATAGCATCTGGCATCCAGATACAAGAACACCAGTCCGAAAGGATCATTAAAGTTCAGAAGAGGTCATTACTAATTAAAAGATATGGCTATTTTTGGCCAACTATGGAAAAGGACTGCTTTAACTACGCCAAAGGTTGCGAAGATTGTCAAAGGAATGGTCCGATACAGCACCTGCCAGCTGTCCCTTTGAATCCGATCGTCAAACCTCGACCTTTCAGAGGATGGGCTATGGATTTTGTAGGCAAAATCGTGCCCAATTCGAGTAATGAGCACACATTCATTATCGTGGCCACCGATTATTTCACAAAATGGGTGGAGGCGAGTGCAGTCAAATCTATCTCTTCCTCAATAGTGATCGCCTTCATTAAACAACACATCATCCACAGGTTTGGAATTCCAGAAACAATCACGACTGACAGGGGCACATCCTTCATTTCCAAGGAAATCCAGGACTTTTCGGACGCCTACGGCATTAAATTCGTACAATCTAGTCCCTACTTCCCACGGGCAAACGGTCAGGCAGAATCTACTAACAAAGTCTTGATCAACATCATCAAAAAGATGGTCGAGAGCAACCCTAGGGACTGCCACGAAAGGTTATCCAAGGCGCTTTGGGCGGATCGGACCTCGAAGAAGACATCCATCGGTACTACCCCTTTTGCATTAACGTACGGTCACGATGCAGTTCTGCCAGTTGAAATCAACGTGCAATCTCTACGCCTAGAGAAACAACCTGACATGGATGACGCAGCTTATATTGAATCCATGATGAAGGAATTGGAGGAGTTAAGCCCGATTCGGGCCAAAGCCTTAAATCATCTCATGATAGGAAAACAGGCAGTGGCTCGAGCTTACAACAAAAGGGTCCGAGGAAAGACGTTTGAAGAAGAAGAGCTCGTCTGGCGAGCTATTCTACCCGTAGGAGCCCACGTGTCAGGATTCGGGAAGTGGAGCCCAACTTGGGAAGGTCCATTTCTGGTGAACAGAATCTTGGGAAAAGGGGCTTACCTACTGCAAGACATGAACGGAACCCTCCACCAACACCATATTAACGGGCAATGGTTAAAAAAGTTCATTCCTTCTTTATGGGAAGCAACAGGCATCGATCTTAGTGATGACCAAAGGGGTAACGTATAATGCAAAATCTTGTTGGCTAAGAGGTTGTAACTAATTACCCGCATTAAGGGTGAACATGTATGGACAAAAGCTTGTTGAAATTTTATATAGCCCACTTGCAATCTCATACTTAGTTAATCATCCATCATCAAAACCATTCAAAGGGCAAATAAAAGAGTAGAAAATTAACAGAGACGTCCGAAAAAAGTTTAAATAAAGTTTACACCAGCAGATCTAACAGGGTCTTGATCTTGTCCGAGAAATGCAGCACGTCCACGCGCAGCCGATCCACACGAATTTTCTTCAGCTTTTCATTCCACAATTCCAGCCCAACATCCATGTCCGCCTTATCCAGATCTTCTTTAGCCGAGGACAGAATAGTGAGCATTTGGTCCGCCGCATCCTGAAGCTCTCTCTTCTGCACTTGCATTCTTGCCAGCCGAGCCTCTGAAGTTTTCAAACGCCAACACACTTGCTTCAGCAGTGCGTCCTGTTCATTCAGCTCCTGGTGTTGCGCCTCCATCACTTCCTTTGCTTGGGCCAGCTCTGCCTCCAAGCCAGGAAGAGCATCGGATGTTTGCAGCGATGGATCATCGTGTTTGAATTTACCAGCGAGGGCTTCCAAATCAGTCTTGGCAGT